GCCGATTATTAGGTGTCTATTGTTTTTTCTCGTTAATGTCATCATTGTTGTTGCTAGGGTTGTATGAATTACATTGTTTTTAGTGTTATGTAGAGTGGTTGATGTCAGGCTGTTTGGCGTTTTGACGTTGTTTCTGTCTTTTATGGATCTGCCTTGTTTTGGCTGGCTGTGGTGAAATATGAATTTTTAATTTCAGTAACGATCATAATGTTGCTCAGATCTGCGTCTGGGGGGTTGTTCTCATTAGTAAGTGTTGAGAGTTTGTTGACGTTGGTTTTTGTGATGATGGGGGTGTTGTTGTTGCTGTTGATGTTGTTATTTATGTTGTTGATGTGATTGTTGGTGTGGTTGATGTTCCTAATGTTTTTGACGTTGTTCTCTGATGTTGCTGTAGATGTTGTTTTTGCTGTTCCTGACGTTGTTGTTGTTGTTGATGTTGCTGTTGATGTTGTTATTGTTGTTGTTTATGAAGTTGTTGTTGTTGTTGATGTTGTTTTTGTGGTTTCTGATGTTGTTGATGTTGTTGTTGATGTCCCAGCATTGATGTCATCGCGAATGAAGTGACAACTTCAACCGTGGACGCACATTCTCAGTGACATCGTTCAATGGAGCATGCAGCATGGCAAATACAAACATTCGCATCGACAATAATCTTATTGATTAGCTTTCTGTTGCTGCTAAATTAGAATTTTGTTGATTGTAGTTGGAACACCGTTGATGTTGTCTGTGTGTGTGTGTGTGTGCGTGCGTGCGTTTGGACGCGTTGCTGTCTTCGTCAGTCGTCAGTGATGTTGATGTCTGCTGCTTACTGTCATTTTCGTTTGTGATATGATATTTCTGTTCGTGTTGATGCGAGTCATAAGGATGATGCAATCAATGTTGCTTGTTTTTTCAAGGCGCCCAATCTTCTTGAAGATTTGGATGCTGTTAATGTAAAATTTGTTGAGGTGGTTGTTGTTGACGGTTATTACATTTGTTTACTCATTTGCAATTGACGATTCTTTCTAAATATGCCATTCAGTGTTTCTGCTTGTACATCTTCAATATTCGTCTGCTTACAATTGCAGGATGGGATTTTTGTAAATGTGAAAATTTTTAAAAACAACTTGTGAGACGATTGAAATGAAACAAGTTCATTTTAATGTTTAATTTAGCCTGTTTAATTGTTGCTTAAACAAAAGTATGAAGATGACGATAATGTGGAAGATGATGACGACCATGATGACGACCATGATGATGACGACGATACTCGCTGAATCAAAAGGTAATGAGGATGATAAGGATGATGATGGTGATGATGATGTTGTGATTGCTGTTGTGATGATAGTGATGTTTCTTTATGATGATGACGACGTTGAACATTGATGTAGAAAGATTGATAGTAATTAAGATGAAACAGATTTGGGTCTACAATCAATCAGACAAATTGTGCTTGTTCAGTATGTTCCCGAGCGAGCGAGCGAGTTAGTGAGTGAGTGAGTGAGTGAGTGAGTGAGTGAGTGAGTGAGTGAGTGAGTGAGTGAGTGAGCGAGTGAGTGAGTGAGTGAGTGAGCGAGTGAGCGAGTGAGTGAGTGAGTGAGCAAGTGAATGAATGCGATGTGGTGTGTGAGCGATGAGGAGGAATTGTTAAGGACAATCAAGAACAAATTGTAACTTGAAATTCTAGTTATGAAATTTATTCATTTCAAATTAAAACCTTGGTACATTCGCTCACAACAAATGATCTACTAGTTGGTATTTCATTCACGTTTTAAACTGCAAATTTCTATTTTTCAAATTTTTTTGAATAAAAATCCAAAATGTTTATATAACTTATGAAAATATGAATGATTTCTATTGTAATTCATTTTCCAAATCTTTCAGATCTATAAAAATGGCACACCATTGTTAAAATAGGTATGAGGATATTTTATCTTGAAAGTTAATCAGATCATACATTGTATACTACAATATATCATTATATATTTGCCAAAGGCGGCCCTGCACACACAGAAACACAAACACACACACAAACAGGAACACACACACAAACAGGAACACACACACAAACACGCACAAACGTCCAGTTGATTCAATTAAAAATGTTCATCGTCCATAAAACATTTATTTTATCTCACGTAAGATTTATTAGCGATAACTTCATTAACCCGCTCACCATGGTGCTATAAAGTTGAAAGCAATTTTTTCATCAAAAGTGAATTCTTGTTTTGTTCTTCTACAGTCTAGATGTTATCAGTCTGCCACTCGGAACGTGTTCAATATTTCAGCACGCAGGTATGCTGTGCTGTTCGAAGTTAGGAGGGGATGGGCGATTTATTTCTCTGATTTATTTTTCTCATCATCAACAGCAACATCAGAACCACCACCACTACCCTCATCATCGCCATCATCATCATCACCATCATCATCATCCTCATCATCATCAAATCATCATCATCGCCATCATCACCATCATCATCCTCATCATCATCAAATCATCATCATCGCCATCATCACCATCATCATCATCCTCATCATCATCAAATCATCATCATCGCCATCATCACCATCATCATCCTCATCATCATCAAATCATCATCATCGCCATCATCACCATCATCATCATCCTCATCATCATCAAATCATCATCATCGCCATCATCACCATCATCATCCTCATCATCATCAAATCATCATCATCGTCATCATCACCATCATCATCATCCTCATCATCATCAAATCATCATCATCGCCATCATCACCATCATCATCATCCTCATCATCATCAAATCATCATCATCGCCATCATCACCATCATCATCATCCTCATCATCATCAAATCATCATCATCGCCATCATCACCATCATCATCCTCATCATCATCAAATCATCATCATCGCCATCATCACCACCATCATCCTCATCATCATCGTCGTCGTCGTCATTGATCTTTAAAAAACTTCACCTCTCCCAAAAAATGAGCTTTCTCGGCTGACAAGCATGGTCTTGTCTCGGATCGTTGCTGGCCAATCAAAAACTTTCAAATAAATCTTTCAACACCAAGTTGGCTGGCCGTGTAATGTCAGTGTCCGAGAGAATATTTGCATGTTGTTGTTCTGGTGATGTTGTTGTGGTGGTGGTGTTGGTGTGATGATGTGCTGTGGTAGTGGTGGGGGTATGATGATGTGATGTGTTGTTGTGGTGATATATTTTATGCTTAGTTAAGATATTATAATTATTTTAGTAATGTTTGTAACTTCTTTATCTGAAACGTGTTTACATCATCAGCGAGTATTACAAATACATCTTCCAGGCATCTACGACAGCAATTGTTTCTCAATTTTATTTTGTTATTTTAAACTCCATTCTGATTCTGGTATGTTATAATGCGAGTTTTATTTACTTTAAATGCCTTTCAAATTGCAAACCGCCATACTATCAAACGGTCGCTGGCATGTTGAAGTGATGCAAAAACAAAAGAAAATTAATCATTCGGGTAGAGGCAAGTAGTTGAAAATCACATCAGGCATTTATTTTATTTTAGGCATTTATTTTGAATGTTTAATGAGCCCATTTTGTCGTCCGTGTTTGATATTTGAAAAATTTGAGGGAATGAGGGTTTTATATGCTAACACAAGTAATGAGTTTTCACAAATCCATCAATGCATTTTTGTAACCCCACATATAATGAACATAATGCACGTGTATTAACGCATATGTGCATTAATCTGCCGGCTTGTTCACGCGGTTGTTTTTATATTTTGCATGTCTACCTGCATCAAGAATTGAAAACTGTTCATTAAAGCAGAAATAATTAGCTCTTTGTATGTAACATTATATGAAGAAGGTCAGCGAATTTAATGAGACAAAAAAACATTGCACTGAAATTCAAGCAGTGTTCTTGGCATTTATTTATATTTTTTTAATGTTTAAAAGTTTTTTAATATATTTATTAATTTTTTTATAACAAAATTATTTGTTAGAATTAATTCTCCGAACATTTAATTGTTAATGACCTTATCGATGATTTCAAGTTTACAAAAATCAAAATTGCTGTAAAGCCTGCAGGCTATCAACTAATTTGTTGGTCAATAGATGGCAAACGAAGGAAGACGAGAAAGCAAATCGTTGCTTATTTTTCAGATAAATAAAAATTTTGATAAAAAAAACCAAAACCTTCCTTTTCCTACACTTTATTCATCCTGTCAGAGATGACTGCGAGCACCGCAAGCTACGTTGTCGATAAAAATACAAAACAATTTGATAGAGGTTAATTATTCAAACAGTTGTTGAATTGAAATAAAATTTAGGCAATGTGCGCTGACTCAAAGATATTATTTTTGTGGTGTTTCCGCGATAAAAAAAACTATTCTAAAAGGGCTGATTTTACAACTTACGATTTTCCGCCTTCGATTCAACCAGGCAACATCGATAATCATGTGGGGGGATATATCGAGAAGTTGCCAAAAGTTTTTTATCGTCAACTTCAGCTTTCCACATTTCAACACCTGCAATGTGATCCCGCTTGTCCATTGCAACCATCCATCAAGCTCTCTTTCATTCTCTTCGTTCCATCGCTCTCCACCGAAGTTGATTCCAAGTTCAGTTTTAATTTAGCTTTCAACAATGTAATAAATATGATCTACGACGAAAATATTTAAAAGTCTTTGCGAGAAAAATTGCCATTTTGGGTGTGCTGTATTTTTATTAGAACGGCTTTCGTTACCATCTTAAGATAACTTTTGTTGCATATATAAGGTTTGTTTTTAAATATAAAAAAAGTTAGACGGGTTGAAATAGGCCTTCCGATTTTTAAAACAGGAAATTATTTTTTCCAAAGTTATTCATCCAGCAAACAAAGTTTAACTTGGTTGAAAGATTTAAATTAATTCCAAAATAATTAAAACACCAAACTACCAATAAGACAAAACTAATTATGAATTAAAAAGTTCATTTGGTAATCATACTCCATAACCAATTTATGTTCTAAATAAAAAACTTCTCGTTTAAAAAATCCAGGAAACTTAGTTTTGGTAATACCGTCCTTCTGCGCTTTTTTAAACACATTTTGTAAGCGTGCAATATGCACGACGATGTCAAACCAAGAGTCTGTCTCAAAATAAGTAACTTAAATAACGAAATATTTCAGAAGATTTTGAAATATAAATGACTGGCTGTCATATTTTTAAAACTGTTAATCAAAATTCAAACAAAACTTTGAAGAATCGACAGAATTCATACAATGCTATGTAAAATATGACCATAATTTATGCAATATTTAATAAAATCTACCGATTTTCTATATTTTGAATGTTGACGATTGAGCTTTTCAATATTTCTAACAGTAATTTGGTAATTATTATCCAATTTATTAAAATTAATAAAAAAATCATTGGTGTTCATGGTGAAGCGCGTAGGCCATATTTCGATTTTACTCATCATCAGCCCTTATATAGGAATATTTCATCATCAGCGCTTATATAGGAATATTTCTGTGTGCACTGCAAAGTGCTATTCTTCTGCTTGGTCATGTCCATTTATTATATCTTTGTTCTCTTCATTCTCTTTGCTTTCGAATTAAATTATTTAACACGACCTCAGAAAATCTTCTCAATTGATTAAACTTTAATGACAAAAAGTTAATAAAAAATCTTGAAAGAATTATGATTAAATTGAATAATGTTATCGCAGCGATCGATTTCAATAACATATATATGTATGTATTACATGCATGTATATATGTATGAATATATATATATATATATATATATATATATATATATATATATATATATATATATATATATGCAAATTACAGGAACAAAGGCCCGGGTTATACAAAATCTTTATATAAACTGCAACAAGTGCTGAAGATAGTTGAAAAATCGAAATAGACCCTTATACACTCGAAAATTAATTGGAAAACTGTAAATTATTTTAACGTTAATAAAATAAATAATGACGACAAGAATTTGTTTCGAAATATTGAGAAATGAATTAAACGAGGAATCGATCACACGCATAATTGAGGTGACTGCAAAACCCGAGGGACTGGAACGTGGTGTGAGCAGGCACAGACGTAAAAAAATGGAGCACACACACATGCAAGCAGCTGATACACTGATTGTACAGTTTAATAAATAAAAACTCACAACTGAACAAGTTTGGACAAATTCATTAGTACAAAACATCACCACATCAGACAATCTTAAGTACAATTTTCAGCAAATTCATTTGTACAATCTTCAGTACATGCAGCTGTACAATCTCCAGTACAATCATCATGAAACTCGGCAGCGCAACAATTTCATTCCTACGACATTCATGTTTGGTCATAATGTGGTTTTCTATCGTGACTTAGTTAACCCGAAAGAACAACAAACAAAAGAAACTAACGTGTCGTCATCGTATACAAACTCATTTTCATAATTTTCTTATTTGTCGTCATCATCATCGTCATCATCACCACCATCGTCATCATCATCATCACCACCATCATTGTCTATGTCGTCGTCATCATCGTCGTCGTCATCACCTCCATTCTTACAAACGCCCATCGCTAGACTTCCGTACGAGCACACGTCCCCATCATTCTAGAAAAATATCGAACCTATTTAACTGCTGATGGACTGAATTGAAAAGTGAACGATGGCATCTTTGTTATCTGAATCATTATTTATTCAATTTTAAAAAGAAAACATGCCAACATTTTACGACATGCAATTCTTGTTCGTGACTGAAACTCAACAACATCTTCCACATTATTTCTCAGAGAGTTTTTACCAAAACACTTAAAAGCATTTCCTTTAAGAAGATTTTTAAAAATATTTTAATTATTTTCTACTAGGATATTATATATACAATAAATATATATAATAATAAATCTTTATAATAATATAATAATTATCACGTTTGATAAATCTTAAAAACCAAGGGGGTCTATTAAATTTTGTTTGATTAAACAAAATTTAATAGACCCCCCTTGATGATCGCATTTTCCAGACCAATCCATCAATCAACCAGTACGAACACGAGCAAAGTGGAAAAATTATTTATCTCAATTGGACATAAAAATTTATCATTCACTTGGCATTTTTACAATTTTCAATGGCGGATGCGAAAAATACATGACTCTGTGGTTGGTATATCACGTCATAATGTCGTATATTTTAGTGTTTTTTAAACTAAACGGAAGTAAGCAAAAAATAAGGATCGTCCATTTTGAAAATCACACCCCCACCGCTAAATTTAGGATCCGCAGCCGAACAAAGTCACAGAAAAACTTTTCGCTTTTACGAGATGTGGTGGCGAACCTGGCTCTATGCATGCGTGTGTGTTGCATCTGTATGATTGGTAAATATTTCAAATTACATTTTTAATCAATTTGTTTAAACCCTCATTGGTTACAATTAATCACTCAAGTATGCTACTGAAATAATAAAATTCGATAAATTCGAGAAATAAAACTAAATTAAATGGCTAACATATTGGAGCCTATCTGATCCTTTTAGGGTGAAAAGTTAATTAAGAGAATGACGTGCGACCCCGTCTGTGTTTCTTGTTGTTGAGTTAGTTGGCAGGAGGAGGGGGTGTCCGGGCTGAATCTCCTCATGCGCTGGTCACACAATCCGATCCGATCAATAGGTTTGGTGGCTGGTCAGTGAACCTCACAAGTTACTGTGCCACTCAAGTGAAAATAAGATTTTTTTTAAATTTAAATTAATTAAATAATTTAGATATTTAAAACAGCATTTTAAAAAACAGAATAAGAAAAGTATAAAGTAAAGAAGTTAAATTTAATGAGAATAATTTACAATTGAAAATTTTTAACAAAAATAAAAAAAAAATGTGGGCTGGTTAACATAATTGATTTTACCGGTTACTAATCTACATGAAATTTCTTTCGCCGTTCCTATCCAGTTGAACCAGTTCTGTCTCCATTCGATGTTCGTATGCTATTTTGGGTTCGAACGATTGTACCGCTTAAATAAATTGGGCCGTTGTGCACAAACATTGCACACGATAATTTTTAGTTGAATGTTTATTAATTATACAAATGCAGGAAGTAGATGAATGTTTGTAAAAAAAAAACCAATGTATTATTTTGTTTTTAAAAATTTAATGCTCGTGCAATTCATTGTGAGGGAATGAAGACGCGATAGAGTAAATAAGGCTCGATGGGCCTTCCAGTGCAACTTTAATTGGTGTGCCATCTTGGAGTAATTCAATCGGAGCAGAGATAGGAAGGATATGAATTTTCATTAGCGGGCTGGCTGCACAACGTGCAGACAACACAAGTATTATAAGACCAAAAGGATTTTATGTTGCAAGTGTTTCTTCAAATTTGTTTACCTTTATATTTCAATTAAAGTTAAATGTTCAAACACAAAAAAGTTTACTTAACTTAAACCAAGTCTAAAAAAAATCATAAAAAGACATAAAGACACATAAAAATACACACAGGTACAAACAAACAGACATAAACACACACGCACAGAAACAAAGACGCACACAAACACACACATGCAGGCTTAGTTTAAAGCTTCCTGCTCTTTAGGAATTCGAGAACAGGACAAACATTTGTACAACATTTATATACAATTTAAAAATTAGTTCAATGTGACCACATTTGGAAGTATTTAATTAATACAACAACGTTTGCTGGCGTCCGTGAAAATAAAGTTTGATTTGGTGTTTTTGTTCAGAATCAACAACAAAAAATTTTTTTCCAAACAATGTTCTTGATTTCTCATATCATGTAGTTTTTTTTATAAATTATATAATATGTCATTTATTAATGATGTAAAAAGATTAGATGCAAATCGTGGAGTAGGAAAAGATGGCGAATGGATGATCGCCAAAGTTTTTTTTGAAGATAACACACCAGAGAGAGCATTAGTAGTTCATTTCGTTTGGACGAATTGTTACAAACCAAACTGAGTTAGGCAGTGTTGTTATAAAACATGTTCTCAAACTGTTCACACCTCTTACAACTTCGTCGTTAAAAAACGCGCGTGAGACACGAAGTCATATTGAAAATTATAGTCATTAACGCGCGTGAGACACGAAGTCATATTGAAAATTATCCTCTCATCGAAAGGTGACTATTAGATAAAAAATCACCAGCTTTACAATTTGAAAATCACCCCAGCGCAAAATTCTGGATCCGCCACTGCAACGATTGAAAAGAGTGCCTATATTTGTTTATATTTTTATACATGAATACGGTAGTTGAACGAGTGAGAATTGTATTGATCCCTCCGTGACTTAGCTCTGTTCACATATTATTCACGGACATCCAAGTGTATGGACTCTGCCATCATTGACGTTTTTTTTAGCCAGGAATTGCCACGATGAAGTTAACACCTCTCAGATAAACAATAGATGTACGTTATGCATACGAAACGTTGTAAAATTTTGCATTTCGCATGGTGATGACAATAGTCAAACCGTGTTTTGAATTGAAACTGCCAGCCGTTACAAAAAATAAAAAGTAAACGAAACTTTAATATTTAGTTAATAAACGACTAAAT